AGCTCAGCCTGGAGTTGGGCTGCTGTGAGTCGCCGGTGATGGCATAGGCTGCAGCCCCTGTAGCAATGGGTTGCCATGGGCTACCGTGTGTGGCCAGCAGCCAACATGAGCGGCCAGCAGCCGCAGTGAGTGGCCATCCAGAGGCCGGCGACTGATGTGCCTCGCCCGGGAAGAGCACAATGATGGTGCCAGCTTGGGCCAGTGAAGCAACATCCTCCACAACTAGACTAAAGAACAAAATGACAGCAACTTCTCTGTTCTCCTTCCCCCAATTCCCCAGCACTGTTCCCATCACCCCAATTCCCCAATAAAAAAATCTTTAATAAATAAATAAATAATAAAAAACATAAAAGATACAATGACATACAAAAAAAGCAGACAAACTACCCCTGGAAGGTCTATTTTAATCTAATAATGTACAGGGGTAGTGTGTTCTGTTGCCATGTCTAGCTTGGCAAATTAGAGTGAGGTGACCTTATACAGGAAGGGAGGCAGTTTACTCTGACGATAATGGCTGCCATTTATTGAGTCATTAGGCAAGGTGTTGTCTACATAGGTTATCTCATTCAACTTTCACAGCAACCCAACAGGGTAAGTAATTTTATATGATTTCATTAAAAAAAAGAAAAAGAAAGAGAAATTGAATCTCAGTGGGGTTAAATAATCTACTTAAATTTGTGCCAGTGAGTAGCATATGGTATAGAGTCAAACACAGCTCTGACTCGGAAAGCACATGCACTTTCTATCCCACATGAAGGATATAATAAGGGCTAGAGTAGTGTCAGTGGGAAGGATGAGTAAGAGATGAGTCCAAAAATGCAGTTTAAAAGAAGGAAACATTAGGACTTAATAGCTAATTAGATACACACGGCGAGAATAATAGTTTGAGATGTTTTTATGACTTCATTAGGAAATTGGGCAAGAAGGGAGGTACTACAGCTAGATAAAGTCATTGGGAAAGGTTGCTCATTTGCAGTATGGAAAGATCAGTTTGTGTTGTGACAACTGAGACATAAAAATGGAAACTTTAAAGCATGATCTTGGACCACAGGTCAGGACTGGAGATGTATATTTTAGAATTATCCCAGTGGAGGTGATAGGTGAAGTCATAACTGTATGTGCTTACTTAGGAAATAAGTTTAAAGGAAAAAAATGTAAGGCCAAAGAGATGTAGAGACACACACCTCCAACCCACTACTCCCCTAAGTCCCAACCCTTCCCCCTACATTAAGAAGGCTGGAGAAAAAAGAACCATCAAAGGAGTCATACAAGAAATTTTGGAAGAAAACTAAGAAGTGTTGACTCTAAATGTCAGGGGAAGAGATGAATGGCCTCAAAATTAAATGCTGAAAAGAATGAGACCTGTGAAAAAATATTGGATATAGACAATTGGAGACCAGCAAAAAATGAGAACACTAGTAACTTTTAGAGGATCAGATCTGGAAACATGATAAGAGCAAAAACCAAAGTGAACACAATTTAGAGGGAAGTGGTTGGATAGGCAGTAAAGGCAAAAGATGGATGGATGGATGATGGCTGGCTGACATTATGAGCATATTTGGAGGTTTATAAAGAAGTGAGTTAGGTTAAAGATACTGAACAGGAGGAGATGATTCTGAGATCATTCTAGAGGGAGAAGAGGGCAAAAGCTGTAGAGGAGTACACAAATGTAGACAGTGAAAAAAATAAGGCCATGCCAGGGTCCACAAGAGAGCTAAGGAGACTATATTTTCACTGCTGTGTAAATTTGCAAGAAGGTGGGGAAGGTGGAGTCTTTGGGGAAGGACAGGGTGGGGCTGTGGGGAAGCACGTTACAATCTTCAGGATTAAGGATAAAATTTATTTCAAATTTTTCAAACAATAGTAAATGTTGCTTGTTATAGAAACTTACGATCCCTGAAATCACATTTAACATTGAGTTTTCTTTCTTAAATATGTTTAATGAGCATTCTAAAATGAATAAGGGCCAAAAGTATGCTACTGTAGACGTTATTCAGTACTTGAAACTATCCCATGTGATTTTTATGCCACTAGACTTAAAATACTAAAAGTGACAGTCTAAATAATTTCATGAACATAATATAGTAACACAACTGATTTATTTTTTGCAATTGACTTTTATAAACTTTTTTCCATTTATAAGTAAGGTACTGATAATGTTTCAAAGGTGAGATTTTGAAAAAGGTTCTGTGAGCAATTTTATTGAAGGTTATGATGTTATCAATTTCTCTATAAAACAACATAAAGTAAATTTAACATATTTCATCAATTCTAAGACATTCACTTTTTATATCTTAACATATCTGAAATCTGATTGTGTCTTGTTGATAGTATGTCATAGTTTACCTACCTGAGTTTGTTTTCTTTCTTAGTATACATAAAATTTTGACATATCCTAACGCTTGTTGCTGTCATAAATTTGATGAAATATGTTAAATTTCAAGAAGATTTCCATGTGATAACGTGTCGAGTAACACATTAGTTTGCTAGGGCTGCCATAACAAAGTACCAAAGACTGGGTGGTTTAAACAACAGCAATTTATTTCCTCACAGTTCTAGAGGCTGGAAGTACAAGACCAAGATGTCAGCAGGGTTAGTCACTTGTGAAGGCCTCTTTTCTTAATTTGTAGATGGTCTCTGTATCTTAACATGGTCTTACCTCTGTGTGTTTGTGTCCTTATCTCCCCTTCTTATAAGGACATGTAGTACTGGATTAAGGCTTACCCCAATGACCTCATTTAATCTTAGTTACTTCTTTAAAGATGCTATCTCCAGGGGCCAGCCGAGTGGCTCAGTTGGTTAAGAGCTTGCTCAAGAGTGCGAGCTCTGAGCAACAGGGTCACCAGTTTGATTCCCAGCCTGAGATGAGCTGCCGCTCAGCTGCCAATAGGTGGCAGAATGGCTCAGCTAAAAAAAGAAAAAAATAAATAATGCTATCTCCAAATACAGTCACATTCTCAGATACTGGGGGTTAGGAGACACAATTCAGCCCATAACACATAAGGAGGATGAATAGTGAAACTTATTATGGCATAGTATTAATAGAAGCAGCACTGAGTCTAAAATGTAAAAGGTCTAGGTCAGGGGTTGGCAAACTTTGGAGACAGAAGAGCCACCAGGAGTCAGCAAACTGCAGCTTGCAAACTGTAGCTCTGAAGTAAAATTGAAAATAAAAATAAAACTATCATAGTTTCATTTACAAAATTTTTACAGGATATTATTCACATAATGGTGTTTATGTAAAAATGTATTTATGGCTCTCAAATAATTTTTAAATTCTTGTGAGGGACAGGATTGGCTCTTCCAGGGATCAACAAACTTTTGAGATGGAATGTATTCAAAGAGCCTTATGTGGCTCACGAGCCACAGTTTGCCTACCTCTGGTCTAGGTTAACCTTGGTGTTGCCATTTTTATGTCTTTGAGCAAGTCACTTAATTTCTCTGACCCTCTGTTTTCTGATCATGAAAAAAATGATATTTTCCAAGTCCTATTTTGAGACACTAATAGGAAACATATAAAAGTGTTTTGTCAACTCAAGGGTCCTCTTCTCATATGAACTATCATTAATACTTGTAAAGTTATTGATTGCTACAGTAGAGATAAATCATATGTTATAAAGAAAAGATTGAGGTTTTAAAGAATGCAATGAATTCTTTTTAAATGTAGTTATGGTGCAAAAATACGTTTTTTATGAAAGAAATAACACAAGGTGTATTCTTCCAACTTAATAAAACAAATAAGTTTATTTTAATGAATAATTAGATATATTATATATAGCCAGATATACTCAGGAAGCATATCTTTTGCAGCACTTTTATACATCTACTTCTGTCAAAACCAACTATTTTAGCACTTAATTACTGAACAGACAGATTGGATCAATGCAGTACATTGCATACATCACATTTTGATTTCAAACATAAGAGAAATTTTACTAAATATTTTATGATGCTACCTTCTTGTAAATTACATTTCTATTTCTCCTTGGATATATGTTCTTTTCAATACTTTACTTTAAAAAAATCATTTGATAAAAAAAATAATTAAATGAAGATAGATAGGGTTTTATTCAGGAAGCTTGGGTTCACTTGACATAATCATGGTTTATCTTTTTTAGGGAATGAAATCAGTCAAGTTGAAGGGCTGGACAACTTAGAAGTCCTTCAGGAATTGGTAGTGGACCATAACCGCATCAGAGCATTTAATGACAGTGCCTTTGCAAACCCAAGCTCTCTGTCAGCACTTCACCTGGAAGAAAACAGACTACGAGAGCTGAGCAAATTACTACCTTTGGTAAAACTAGAGAAACTCTTCCTGGGATATAATAAAATCAAGGTAACATTATTTTGGTTTTTTGTTATGAGACTTATAAAACTTAACTTCTTCTGAACATAAAGCTTCCAAACACACTAATGAAAATTTTGCTAGTATGTTATTTATCATTTATATGCCATGTAAATATTCTGTGATGCAAAGGCATATGAATCATCAGTGATACAAAGATGTCCATGCTGCTTCTAGACCAACCCCTATGTATCTACCTGGTAAAAAAAGGTTAGCTCCAAATGTTCTAAGGCTCCTCTCAGCAATCTTCTCTAGGAGATTTTTCTTCTTTTCTTGATCTCTTCCCTGTAGTTTGCTATTTTTCTTTAGTGTTTTACTTAGGTTCCTTTCTCTTGGTTCTTTGTATATCTTTTGTGAGTTTTTGGTTTGTGGTTACCATAGGTTTATATATATCATTCTTTATCTATAGCAGTCTATTTTAAACTTAAAGGCATTTAATTTTGAATATATTCTATAAGGACTATATTTTTACTCCCCCCCCCATGCTTTATGTTATTGAAGTCATATTTTAGATCTGTTTGTGTTGTGTATTGCCACACAAACCACTAAGTACTTATTGTAGTTTGAGTTGAGTTTGATACTTTTTTCTTTTAATCTTCATACTAACCTTCAGAGTAGCTACAATAATCAAAACAGTATAGTACTGGTATAAAAACAGATATATAGATTAATGAAATAGAATACAGAGCCCTGAAATAAATCTTTGCTTATATGGTCAATTAACTACAACAAAGGAGGCAAGGACATATATATAATGGATTAAAGACAGTCTCTTCAATAAGTGGTGTTGGCAAAACTGAATAAATACATGCAAAAAAGTTAAATTAGACCACTTTCTTACACCATATACAAAAATAAACTCAAAATGGATTAAAGATTTAAATGTTAGACCTAAAACAATAAAACTCCTAGAGGAAACATAGGCAGTAACCTCTGACATCTCTCTTAGCAACATCTTTTTGGATATATCTCCTCGAATAAGGTAAACAAAAGAAAAAATAAAACTAATTGGACTACATCAAACTAAAGTTTTTGCACAGTGAAGGAAACCATCAACAAAACTTAAAGACAACCTACTTAATGGGAGAGTATATTCACAAATGATGCATCCAATAATTGATTTATATCCAAAATATAAAAAGAACCATACAATTTAACACACACACAAAGCCAAACCATTACAAAATGAGCAATAGACCTGAATAGGCATTTCTCCCAAGGACATACAGATGGCCAACAGACATAGAAAAAAATGCTCAACATCACTAATTATCAGGGAAATGCAAATTAAAACCATGATGACATGGTTTTACACCTGTACATGACATCGCCTCACACCTGTTAGAATGGCTGTCATAAATAAGGCAACAAATAAGTGCTGGTGAGGATGTGGAAAAAAGGGAACCCTCATGCATTACTGGTGGGATTGTAAATTAGTTCAGCCACTATGGAAAACAGTGGAAATTCCTCAAAAAGTTAAAAATAGAGCTGCCATACAATCCAGCAATTCCACTTCTGGGTATTTATCCAAAGAACACAAAAACTCTAATTTAAAAAGATATATGTACCCCTGTTCACTGTAGCATTACCAGTAGTAGCCAAGATATGGAATATGGAAGCAACATAGGTGTTTATAAATAGATGAGTGGATAAAGAAAATGTGGAGACACACACATACACATATAATGGAATATTATTCAGCAATATAAAAGAAGGAAATCTTGCCATTTGCAACAACATAAATGGACCTAGAAGGTATTATGCTAAGTGAAATAAGTCAGGCAGAGAAAGATAAATACCAGATGATCTCACTTGTATATGGATTCTAAAAATTAAAAAATAAATGAATAAGCAAAACAGAAACAGACCCATAGAATACAAGCTATGGTTGCCAAAGGCTTCAGCATGCCCCCATACTTCTTGTTGAGCAGCCCCAAGCCTGGCACTAGTGGCAGCTGGCCTTGGTTTGTAGGTTGGCCTCTCAAGGCACCTCCAAGCCCAGAGTGGGTATCAGCCATCTGTGGATTGCTTTGTTGGTCATGCTATGTGGCCACAGGCAGGGCACAGGCTGTGGCTGAACTTGGCCTGCGGGCGGGCCCCTCCAGGAGGCCCCAGGTCCAGCATGCCCAGTGGCTGGCTTCAGACTTACCCAGAGCACCACCCAGCTGCCCCTGTGAATGACATACCCAAAGGGCAGATTGGGCAGGCACCTGCTAAAGCAAATTCTACTCCATAAAGTCAGCCCCTGCACAGCAGCTTCTCCACTGTAGTCAGGCCAGTCCTCACAACCAATCAGCCTGAGGGTCAGCCCCTCCCATTGACATGTAGACAGCAACCAAGGCTCAACTACCACAGGAGGACACACACAACCCACACAAAGGACACACCTGAAGCACTCAGCTCAGGTGAGTAGGGAGACTGCATCTGAGCCCCACAGAACACTTACTACATAAGGCCACTCTACTAAGACCCAGAGTATAGCAGCCCAACCTAATATGTAGAAACAAACACAGGGAAGCAGCCAAAATGGGGAGACAAAGAAACGTGTCTCAAATGAAAGAACAGAACAAAGCTCTAGAAAAAGAACTAAACAAACAGAGAGAAGCAATCTACCAGACACAGAGTTCAAAACACTGGTTATAAGGATATTCATTGTTCTCAGGGAGAACTTCAACAAAGAGATAGGAACCATAAAAATGGAGATAGAAAACATAAAAAATAACTAGTCAGAAATAAAGAATACAACAACTGAAATGAAGAATACATTAGAGAGAATCAATGGTAGATTAGATGAAACAGAGGATCCAACCAGTGATGTAGAAGATAAGGTAGCAGAAAACACCCAATCAGAACAGCATAAAAGAAAAATCCAAAAAAAATGAGGATAGTTTAAGGGGCCTCCGGGATAACATCAAGCATACCCACATTTACATCATAGGGGTACCAGAAGGAGAAGAGAGAGAGAGCAAGGAATTTAAAGCCTATTTGAAGAAATAATGATGGAAAACTTCCCTACATTGTAAAGGAAATAGACTTACAAGTCCAGGAAGTGAAGAGAGTACCAAAGAAGATGAACCCAAAGAAGACCCTTCTAAGACACATCGTATTTAAAGTACCAAAGGTTAAAGACAAAGAATCTTAAAAGCAGCAAGAGAAATCAGTTAGTTACCTACAAGGGAACTCCCATAAGACTGTCAGCTGATTTCTCAACAGAAACTTTGCAGGCCAGAAGGGATTGGCAGGAAATATTCAAAGTAATGAAAAGCAAAGAACTACAACCAAGATTACTCTACCCAGCAAAGCTATCATTTAGAATTGAAGGACAGATAGTTTCCCAGATAAGAAAAAGCTAAAGGAGTTCACCACCACCAAACCAGCATTACAAGGAATATTAGAGGGACTTTTTAGGGTGGAAAAAAAAAGATTAAAAATGTGAGTAATACTCAGCCGGGAAGAGCGCAATGATGGTGCCAACTTGGGCCAGTGAAGCAACGTCCTCCACAACTAGACTGAAGAACAAAACAACAGCAACTTGTCTGTTCCCCTTCCCCCAATTCCCCAATAAAAAAATCTTTAAAAAAAAATGTGAGTAATAAAATGGCAATAACTACAAATCTATCAACAATTACTTTAAATGTAAATGGATTAAATGCTCCAGTTACAAAATAGGGTACCTAAATGGATAAGAAAACAAGACCCTTACATATGCTGCCTATCAGAGATTCACGTCAGATCAAAAGACACACACAGACTGAAAGTAAAGGGATGGAAAGATATTTCATGAAAATAGAAACAAACAAACAAAAAAGCTGGAGTAGCAATACTTATACCAGACAAAGTAGACTTTAAAACAAAGGCTATAAATACACTTCTGGGTATTTATCTGAAGAAACTCAAAATTCTACTTCGAGGGAACATGTGCATCCATATGTTCATTGCAGCATTGTTTACAGTGGCCAAGATATGGAGGCAGCCTGGGTGTTCCATCAATGGATGAATGAATGGATAAAGAAGAGGTGGTACATATATATAATGGAATATTATTCAGCCATTAAAAAAATGAAATCTTGCCATCTGCAACAACACTGATGGACCCAGAGGGTATTGTGCTGAGTAGAGTAAGTCAGGCAGAGAAAGACAAATGTCATATGATTTCACTTACATGTGGAATCTAAAGAACAAAATAAACAAACAAAACAGAAATAAACCCCTAGATACAGAGAACATTTTGATGGTTGACAGCTGGGAGGGGGTTGGGGGAGTAGGTGAAAAAAGGGAAGGGATTAAGAAGTACAAACTGATAGTTACAAAATAGTCATGATGATGTAAAGTATAGTATAAGGAATATAGTCAATATTGTAACAATTATGTATGGTGTCAGATGGGTACTAGATTTATGGTGATCATTTCATAAGTTACATAAATGTCTAATCACTATGCTGTACACCTGAAACTAATATAATACTGTATGTCAACTGTAATTGAAAAATTAAAAAATATTACAAAGTAAATAAATAAAAATAGGAAACCATCAACCCTTTTCCCCTAATTATGAACATGCTAGTTTGCACGATGTCTTTTTATAGCAGCATTATCCTCTACAAATTTAACACTCAGTTTCTCATATTAACATTCCAGGAAAAACACACACTTTGATTAGAAATACTTCACTAGTGAACACTGCTACACTCCATTATATCTGAGAAAACAATGTAAGACTTTTCACGTTTCTATGCTTTCCGACCAGGCTTTGTTTCCACAGATAGGAACTTCCTGTGGGTCAAATGCACAAGATCTCTATAGATAATTGACTGTCAGAGCTTTTTCAAAGTCCTCCTTTATGATAGTTCCAAAATCAAAATAGTAAAGATCAGTCATTTTAAAAATCAAATTCTACTTCCAAATGATCGAAAATGGGTCTAAATTTTTTTATAGTTAACTAGGTGAATTGTCTATATTCACATGTCATTCTAAATAAGAATAGGAACATCAGTAACTTTGCTTTATTACAATACACTAGCAACAACCTTAAGCTGAGCTTATTGCCTAATTTTTTTTCAGAAATAGCATTTTAGAAATAATTTTTCAAGAACTACATTGTACAATATTTGCAAACTTTCAGCAATGTTAAATAGGTAATAATAAATAATTTCATCCAAGTGAAGGCAAGTCATTCAACTACAGAAATAGTTTTTCAACCTATATTCCCAGCAAATATGTCAGCATGCAGTCCACTGTTCCTTTATGGTGAAGGTTGTGCTGAATATGTACATTTGAAATTGCCTAAATTGATTCACCTTCATTTCCATTCTTCTTTACAAAATTAGCCAACTATAATTTGAGTCCTAGAATAGATCATAATTTTTCTGATGAACAATTTGTTTTTTTCTTGCAAATGCTCCTACATGGCTTCTTTACCATATTAGAGTGTCACCTCTGCCAATCATTTATTTGGAAACAATAGTACACAGATCTGCCTTTAATCAACAATACAGAATATTGTCACTGAAGCTCACTTCAGAGGACTCAATCATGAGCTAGCAGCAATCCAACAGTTACATATAATTACTTCAAATCAGTGTGTATTTGAAGATGTTGGATCTAACCAAATAATAAACTTACTAACTTTTCAATAGGATATGGCAGAACTGGAAAAACTTCATGGTTTCTCTTCTCTCCGAGAGCTTACAGTTTATGGCAATCCAGTGAGTATGTTAACTTTTCTAATTTATTAGTTAATTTACTTATAGTTGTATATAGTTTATTTTTAAATAATGTGAGAGGATTTTTATGTTTCCATAAGCGCAGTTATACAAGCACAATTTATTGACTAGTGTTTTCTTCCAATTGATTGGTCAACTGCCATTGTCTTATATAAGAGGGTCAGTTTTAGGGTTCTACAGTATATTCATTGGCCTATTATTTGTCAACTCCTGTACTCATATTACACTGTGTTAATTACTGAAGTTTTATATTAAGTCCTGATGCCTCTCGTTTTCCTTCTCTTCCACCTTCTCTTTTTCTTTCTTCATTGTATTGGCTATTCTTGACCCTTTACACTTTCTATGAGTTTTAGCAAACAGCTTCTCAAGTTATGTGAGAGACTACTTATTGTATTTCTTTCTTGGTAGACATAGCTTTGTGGGCTTGAATAACTGTGCATATGGAAACACAACAGTACTGGCTCTTCACCCAGCAACAAAAATGCACCAACATGTGTGTTATGTTTCTGCCCAGGGAATCCCACTACACTTAACATTCAAGAATTTTGTTAGGGGCGGGTCACTTAGGTACTTTATGCCTATCAAATACCAAATTCCAGACTCAAAGAAGGAAAGAAGGTCAAGCATAAATCATATTGTTTGTATAAGTAGTCAGTACAGTGAAGTACCCTTATCAGTTAAGGAATGGTGGGAATGTTTCCAAAATCCAAGTACCAAACAATAGTCAAGAGCTAGCCTTGCAAGCAGACCCTTCTAAAAATAACAACCTCAGGCCTAATACATGAACTCTTTCTACACATCTTTTTATGCACATATGCAAATATTTTTTAGTATGTTGGCACTATGAAGTGATGGGTCACACAGTTCAATATATGTGTATTGAATTGGATAGTGCCTTTGGGAAAATATATGCGTCAAGCTAATTATTTACAAGTGAATTTTTATAATATTCTATTCATGAGTTGGGGTTGCCTGTAGTTAGTGAACAATATTATATACTCTAAAAAGAGACTAAATCTCCAAATGGTAATCTTGGTTAAAAAAAAAAAAAGGGGGCCGGCTGAGTGGCACGATGGTTAAGAACTGGCTTGGGATGCCAGAGGGCCCCGGTTCGGATCCAACATATGAGGGCCAGTGACACTGCCCTCTACAGCTAAGATGCTGAACAACAGCTCAACCTGGAGCTGGGCTGCCAT